GATGATATTATCTTTGGTGCAACTAATATTTCAATTTGTGGAGAGTTTCAAAATACATGAGCAAGGAATTCAAAATGAGCATGATGGGAGAACTAAAGTTCTTTTTTGGACTTCAAATCAAACAAACTAATGAAGAAGAGAACGACACTTCAATTGACGTAACAAAATATCGAGGTACGATCAGATCTCTTCTTTACTTAACAGTTAGTAGACCCGATATAATGTTTAGTATTTGCTTATGTGCTAGATTTCAATCCAATCATAAAGAATCACATCTAAGTTCTTTAAAATGAATATTTAGATATTTATGTGGTGGAGCACTAGGCCTTTGGTATCTCAAAGGCACACACATTGACTTCATTAGCTATTCGGATGTCGATTGGGCGAGTTGCACTATTGATCGAAAAAGCACTAGCGAAACTTATCAATTCTTAGGCTTTGCACTTGTGTCTTGGTTTAGCAAGAAATAAAATTTTGTTGCACTATCAACCGCTGAAGCCGAATACATATCAACCACTAGTTGTTGTGCTCAAGTTTTATGGATGAAACAAACCCTTAATGATTATCAATTAACATTTCAAAATATTCCTATTATGTGTGATAACACTAGTGCTATAAATTTGTCAAAGAATCCGATCTTGCACTCTCGCACAAAACACATCGAAATTGACATCATTTTCTTAGAGATCATGTGCAAAAATGTGATATTTATTTGGAATTTGTAAGTACAGATAAACAATTGGCCGACATTCTTACCAAACTCTAGCTCTCGATAGATTTTCTTATATTCGTAGAGGATTAGGTATTATGGATGAATTTGAGATTTGTAGTTAAATGTGTTTAAAATGAAAATTTGCATTCAGTATATTTCAGTTGACTAATTTCAACCTATTCTACCGAAACGGACCGAGACACTCAAAATTTTAGAATTTCGGTTGACAATCGCGACTTTTGGTCGATTGAAAGAAGCAGAGCCGAAATTTCCTCAGGAAATTTCGATTAACAGACAGAAATTCAGTCGACTGAAATTGGCAGAGAAGGAGTCAATTTTTTTCCTTTTTTAACACCAGAACTCTTCCTTTTGCACAAGAACTTCACCCCCAAATTCTTCAATCCTCAAGTCCGATTTTTCTCTCCTCTCTTTCTTAAAATCTTATAATTCTCATC